TGTGTGTGTGTGTGTGTGTGTGTGTGTGTGTGTGTGTGTGGATGAAAAGTGCTTGGAGAAAGAAACAGCTGGGAGGGGAAAGCTGTCTCGTTTCAGATTCAGATGTAATAAGGCAGCTTTTTGAAAGGGGAATAAAGCACAGGAAAAAAAAAAAAAGAAGGAAAACCTGAGGGAGACAAGCTACATCATGAGTGCTAACCATTACATGTCCCTGTGGCTCCAAAGTGCACCTGCACTGCAGTGGTCAGGTCACCAGAGCTCTTTTTTTGTCTCATTATGCCTCGTATAGCATCCATTTTGTGCCTCCTGACTTCTGATTCCAGAGCCACAGGTCATGCAGGGCAAACTAAGGCGGCTACATGTGTTCCTGCCATGAGAGCACACGGGTATGTGGAAATTAAAAGTGAACCTGATTGTTGTGATTGCTCACTTCTAATTAAATCAGCCGCTCTGCCCTCATACCGGGCTCACTGCAAGATATCTCATAATTGTAGTCTTGGAACCTGGCTAATCACCAGTGGAAAGAAATCTCTCAGGAGACACCAAGAATAATTGTGTCGTCGTTGTTTGAAGCAGGAGCTGTGATCACAAGCCCGGAAACGCTGTTGTAGAGTTGTCTTTGGTCAGCAGCCGGGAAACCGGGCTGTTTTTCTCTGTCCTCTATCATCATCCTCTATTTCCCACAGATCTTTAAAAACTTTTTCACATGATGGGAACCCACTGTGATTCTCCATGATTGGAGAAAGATTTGGTTGCTTTGCTAAGCAGAAGCATCACTGTCTGTGGAGAGTTCCTGATAAGTTTCTGCTTGGACACGGCTGAGACAACAATAGTTACACCAGAATTAACAATGGATCTTCACACACCTGATTGTCAGGGCTGATGTCATACTTTTTTTGTCCCAACAGTTAGCAAATAAATGTACTGACTCAGCATTTGTTTGACAAGAGACAAGCACGACACCAGACGTCTTCCACGTCAACTTCATCCCATGTTACATCAGACTGAACAGAGCTAGACCACTGTGAGAGTAGAAAAACCCATGAAGTGTTTAACACAAATCCACAGCCGCCTGGATCTCACGTCTTGACCCTGGGCTCAGGATGAGAGGCACTCACAATGCGGATCGTTTTTCACTATTTATCTCATGATCCAACAGCAATAACACACATGTCGTGTTCTTGTAGAGTGGTAGAGCATCAAGATCACAGTTTGGTGAGAGCATATGTTTTTGTTTTTTTAATTTCTTTGTAATATTTCAGGAGTTAAAGGCCAAAAGGTAACATCTACAACAACGGTACATCAATCTGAATTCCACTAAGTACTTCTGTGTGCTGGTCAGCTACACACATATTTGTACAAGAACACACGAAATGGCAAATGAGATCAAGGGGGACGAGAAAAAGTTGTGTATCTTCAGGAGAAATCTTGTAGATCTGAATTAGAAACCTAGTTTTTAACATCCTGTCATGTGCTGCACAGATGGAGACCTGTTGCTGAAGCTGGGGACTCTGCAGATTTGGGCTGGCACTCGTTTGATGTTGCACATGAATCCCACAGCCTTGATTTTTGCCAGCCTGCTTTGTCTTGTTGCTCCTTTGTAGTTGTGGCAACATCAGAGGAGGTCATTAATCTTGAGCAAACGGGACAGTGTTTCAAACATCTGATTAAAATTCAAAGGAGTTGTTTAGCCCAAAATTGGGATTCAGAGAAAGAGAGATGCACAGTGTCTGTTCCTCACCGCTTAAAAGCAGATGCACTGTTATCCTGAGCCTAACTGAAAGAAGTTACTTTTTGTCTTTTTGCCTTTTTGTGACCGACACTAAATTAATGTGGGATCACAGAACAAATTTGTGCCTAATGTTGTGGTCAGAGAAAGATGACTAAACAGATTGTTGCCATGTTGGCACTCACAGTGAGAGGGTGGCATAACATTGACGATTACCTACCTTGTAATTTGCACAAACACTTATATTTCATGACTGATTAATTGGAATCAATGAATACAACAGAAAACCCATTAGTTAGGCTCTAACGTTACAGGGTTCATGGCCATCGTACAGGCCAATTCAAAGCCACTATGTGTAAATGCCCTTAAATATACAAATTGAGAAGAAACAAAAAACACTTTATATAAATGTTAGTTCATTTTGACCTATTTGTATTCTACCTTTATGTTTATGTAGATAGCATTAAATTATTCTTCAATTCCAGCCACCTTATTGAGTATCTGCATCAGAGGGTTTATCCTTAAACTTCTTTCAAACAGATTAATTAAATTGCTGTCACAGGCTCAATAAGTTCAGGCGATCAAATTCGCATGGAGGGTAAAAAGTGGGAAAATCTCATAAAGTGACTTGTGCTGAGAAATGCTGTTTTTTTTTCCATTCAACAAAACAGAAAACTGTGCAGCAAGAAGTTGCAACTTGCTCCATGTTGAGAAACTACTCGTGAAATCTTCCTTCAGAGGCATCGAGGCAGTAACAGTCTCAAAATGTCATAATGAATGTTGACCTGCATCATAAGACTGAGTATCTCAGAGAAGCAGAAGCCAACCCCAGCCCTAACATTAGAATGACACACACTGACTAGATTGTGTTCACCTCCAACAATCCAACTGAGCCACTTCGCTGCATAAACAAGTCTCAGTCTACAGAAATACTTCTTCCCCGGAACACTTGCAGAGCTTGGGCTGTCTACTTAATAAGCAGAAAAATAATGCAATGAAGAAATGAACCAAAGTTCAGGGAAACTCAGTGAAACAGTGCAGATATGTGAGCATATAAAGCAGAGGACTAACGCTAACCCGCCTCATTTTCACCTGTTTCTTTTACCAGAATGTGCCAGACATGACTCAGGGCTCTGCCGACCACAAGATTTAAGCCCTCCCTCCCTTGCTGGCTTCATCTAATCATGCCTTTATTGTGGATGAATTTCCACCAATCAAAATGCAGAGTTTGCCTATTTCTGCACAATTTGACTTTATCTTTTTTAGTAAAGCCACCTAATATATAATATCCATTTTTGGTTTCACATGTAAGCAGTTAGATCCAGTTACACCTTGTTTGCAACTTAAAAATAACTCAGTAGGACTGTTCTGGACTGTTGGCCCCAGCTTCAGAGAGCACTACTTATTTCCTCATCATTTTGAACCTTAATTTCATTTACTGTATGTGTGTTTTTCAGAGTTTATGTTTAGGTGACGGGTAAAAGACTCTTTTTTTGTGTGATGTACCTAAAGAAGACATTTCTCTCTGCATTAAACTGGTTTTAGAAAGACAGAGCCGCTTCATTTCAATGAATGATCCTCAGTAACAAATTTGGATTGCACTCAACCTACTTAGGCCCATGGTTTACACGAGCTGTGAGGGCAATTTTTCAAAGCATCACCGGCTTGTCCAGTCAGAGATGACTGAACTAACAGCTTTAACAGCTCTTTTCCTGCTGACTAGAACCCTCATTCCTATAATTGTTTTCAAGTAATTGGGAAGGCATCAAGACCAAAAAAGGCTCTCGTGACTGAGAACACCATTTGATCACACTAAACCCTGCTCCACTGCATCTGCTACTCTGTGTAAACACTGACTGCTACAGCACCATGCTGCTTGCCCACAGCAGGCCTCAGATTCTCTCCTTGTTGCTACAAATGGGAAATTTGTGGAAATCTTGCTACTTCTCTCGGTCCATCGACTGATCTTTTTCTCCCCTGAGCTACACACGTGTAAGCTATGTGACAATCATATGACTCACAAACGAAAGAGGAAAGGGCTGAAATTGGGAGTGCAGGTGTAGAAGAACATAGCTTTTGCAGAATAATCAACTAGAGAAGGGAATGTCATGCTTGTCATGTCAAAACCTGACTTGTCATTTATAAAATATATAGTGTGCAATCCAAATGAGGGAGAGGCCAGTGGGTGTGTTTACCTGCCCTTCCAATTTTTTCAATTTAAGTTTAGTCCAGAACATCCTGTTCCAAATGTTAATTGATGGATGACTGAGCTTACTCTGAATAATCAGCGTTTGGTGTTTAAAGCAGTCTCTTCACCCAAGGTTTGCTGATGCTTTTAATCTACCGCAAGATCGAATCCAAGTAGTCGATTTTAAGAGGAGACTGTGTGCATGTGTGTCTGTGCTGATAAGCAAGCAAGCATACCTGAAAACAGAGGACGGTGAAATCAGGTGAGCAGCAAGGGGCCTCATTCTTACAGATTGTCACATAAAAATAAATGAGTATGTGTGAGTATGACTTTTTTTCATTTTTTTGTTTGTCATATATAGTGTTTGAAGTCCCTCTGTCTCGCGACGAAAGTAGGCCACCATCCCAGTCCAGAAACCTGTCCGATAGCAGCACGGCTTTACTATCTTTTCCCGCCACCTCCTGCACAGCAGTCCGTCCAGCACAGCCCCAGAGCGCTGTCCATTTGGGAGGGGTGAACGGGGCGTGCGGCCCCACTGCTGTCCAGTCAGAACTTGCCGCTGTTGTTTGTTTTGTTACCTGTTGTTGCAGTTTTGTGTTTGAGAGCGCAGCAGTGGGGCGACTCGGTGGCTTTTCCTGGCCTCGGCTCAGCCTGGGGGGGGTTGAACTGAGGGGTGGGGTTATGTCGCCTCCTTGTCTGGTTTGCTGACTGGTTTGCCGCCATTCAAGACCACAGGCTCACAGGTTGTGCTTTTGGAAGGCGGGCCCCCTGCGAGCTTAGGCACCGCCTCTCCTACGTCATGCAACGATGGCTCCCGGTACATGGCAACTGCGAGGACACATCAGTGTTCGTTAGACCAAGCTAAAAGAAAGAAGAGCAAAGTTTTTAAAAGAAACATGGACTTTTCATTTTACCTTCTATGGGTTTAGGCAGGAAGTGTGCAGCTGGTTTGGTCTTCTTGACCCTGTTTCCTTTCATAGCCTGTCCCTCTTTATTTAAGCCTAAAAACCATGCGCGGCCCGACTCCTTCTGTCTGTACAGCATGGAGCTGTAGATCACATAGTAGTTCTCAAACACTGACTCCTTAAACTTGCACTCAGCTGTAAACAGTTCCTGAGGAGACAAATGCACAAAAATTCAGATTTTAGTTTATGTGTAAATAAACGTTTTTCAGCGCCCTTTGACCTTATTCTTTTCAGAAAACACACATCACTGCTTCAGTGCTTCAGAGACACTCATGCTGTCACCCATACTGAACTGTCACTGGCTTTTGCACATTTCTGCTATAATAGACAGGTTGGTCCATCTCATCGCTGGCATGTAGAACCGTTTCTCAGTTTTCCAGCAAGCATCTGAAACGTGGAATAATCTGCCCACAGAACACATGTCCTCTGTGTGTCCATCTGATGCGAGCTTGTGTTCAGAAAAACTTAAAGGCAAAGCTGATTTTTGGCTTTCTCTTTGCGTAGAATAGGTTACACAGCAGCAGACAGTTTATTGAAGTCAATGTCTAATGAGGATTTTATAGTCACTTGTTGATTTCTCATTCCTTATAAATGAGAGGATGACAATATAGAGGATAATTGTTTTCACCCTTCTCAGGGGTTTACATGAACCATTTTCATTTAAGCAATTCCTAATAAGGAGTGTAAACATAGTAAGTTCTCCTGTCTTGTATCTGAAACAGAAAAAAATTTATGGAAAACAGACACCACCTGCAGAGACAGAGGAGAAGAGCTACACATAACCGTTGAAGTTATTCTCCCAGCCACATTTTCCCAACCCAAACAAAAACTTTATGTTTCCAATTCCAACAACACAAAAAAATCTCATCTTCCCACATCATCGAAGCTGTTAAGTGTCAAAACTCTTTTCTATGGGTGCTGTCGCTTCCAGCCCAACATATTTCAGCACACAGACGAGGTGTTGTCCTTATTAGCAGAAAAATCCCCACTTCCTTGTGTCTGCATGTACCCCCCAAAGAGAAGATATTCTTCTTTTAGGGGGTCAGGCACCAAACCTTCCAACAAAGAAGTTGTTACATTATTCATATTTGCAATTTCAGGCAGTAAATTATATATTGATAATTATGTGAGGACAGACCTCCTTCAGGTGATGATGACAGTCTGTTTACAAAGTTTACTCACATTACTTGAATCAGTATGTAGAGGTGGGAAAGGTAATTCTCAGCAAACCATCTCAAACCTTAAAATTCCTCCATTCGTGTTTATGGAGCAGTGGAAATGTTGGGATACTGCTGAACATCCACAAGCTACACAGTGTCATTTGTCATTGTCATGTGATTTAAATATACATGATGGCGATGCATGCCAAACACCTGAGCAGCCACGCTGGCTGACTCAGACACCCTGCTCTGCATGAACTGTATTTCCATGGAGGCTTTTTCATTTTCAGTGATATGAGGGATGTTTGGAGCAATGTGTGGAGACCTTCTAATGGAAAAAACTAAAGAAGCTTTGCAGCCTATGCCTCGGCCAAACGTATGAGCAAAATTGCACTTCCTCTCAAACATAAGAGGTTCAAATGGTCCATTTCTTTCATGCACAAATGTTTTAGCATGCTGCTTTTCCATCGTAATATTGCATGTTTCTTTTTTCCAAATTACTTAAAATATTTTTTTCCAATGCAGTAACAGTAATTTGGTCCTCTGCTGCAAGTTGATTGGATGCTTTAAGAAATGACAGGATCCTACAGTTACATGATATTAAAATGGAGTTGAATAAGAATGAGAAATGGCATGTACTACTGGAGATTAAGAGTTTGCCCATCAGAAAACCAAATGGCAGGATAAAGGAGGCTTTAAAGCTTTGCAGACATGACTGGAATTGGTGACTTTTAAAGATAATTCCACTTTAATATGTGGTGCTTTTTTGACATCAAACAACAGAGCCATCATTCCTACAAAGATACTGAGCTTTACATCTTTGACAAACCGCACCGCGCTGACTATAAAATGTCGGTCAAGGCATCTGGTCTCATTTCTCCCTGTACAACAAACGCCTCCCTGTCGTGAGGCATCAATAAAAAAAAATGTATTTAGCAAAACCATGATGTGCAAAATGAGAAGAAATAAAATAAGTAGAGTTAACAACCAGCTTCCCACATGGCTGAGATTCCTACTGCCAACCCCAAACAATCGCTCCCAAGGTCCCCCGACCCTAGATTGGGGAAGTGTTTGTCTAGACTGCCTCTTATTGGTTCTTTTGGGCCTCCTGCCAGAGCTACAGACACATTGTCATTCAGCTCAGGTCTGTCGGTCCGAGTCTCATAGCAACATGAGGAAGAGAGGCGACACTGTAGCCGTGGCAACCAACCAGCACTGAGAGGGAGGGCTCAGGATGTGTGTGTCTGTGTGTCTGAGGGGAGGACTCTGAGAGAGAGAGATACACATACACACGTATGCAAAGGCATAAAGGCTCGCATTGGTAATATGAACCAACAATAATGTGCCATATCCCATGCTCCACCACATCCACTCATGCCAGCATAGAAGTGACACGCTTATTAAAGGTTTAGGCAGCTGCGAGGGATCACACAAAGGTGCACACACTAACACACACTTGTGGCTCTAGGGGATGAATGGAGGGAGGTGTGGAGACATGAAATGCGACTAAATTATTGGTTGGCAGCAAAACAAGACAGCTGATAATGAATGAACGCTCTATTTATTGGCAATTTCAGTGACACACACACAAACAGATGAGCATACCTCCACAAATCAAATGTTCTCCTTCAGTAAGTGCAGTTTTGATCGGTATCAACAGAAGGGTTGCTGTCTGTGGAGCTTGATATTTTTCATTCTGGTATTAAATTAACTCATATATATTTAATCCTGACCTGCAACCCTGAATTCATTATTCATTCATGGAGAAGGATGGTCTTAGATGGTGTGCAAAGCAGTGAGAGATTATTATCAATGCTGGTCAGTGAGGCCATACATCATTTAATATAATTTTTCAAATAAAAAAACGATGTCTTGTCTGAAGCCGCATTATTTATTCTAAGGTGAACTCAGACGATATAAGTGACCTGTTAGAATAAGCGGCGATGAAAACCTCCCAGTCTTACAGGTGAGTCATTTTAACCGTACGGCCCGCCCTGAATGAGTTTCTGTCGTCATTTCTGAAGAGCTATGTTCACAAGATGCCCACAGAAAGAAGACAGGGAGGAATGAAAGAAAGAAATGGAGGGCTGGTTGTGTGGAGGGGTGAGAAATTGGGACATGAAGGAAAGGGGAGAGAGAATAAATCACCAAGTGAAAAGGATGACGCCTCCTGATTGGAAAAACAGCAGGGGATTCTCTGCCGCCCTCCCTCCCTCCTTCCCTCATTCCCTTATCTTTGTATTTCTCTCATCGCCCCCCCACCACCACCACCACTCTGTCCTTTCTCTGCACAGATTTAGTGCACTCGCTGCACACATGCATGGACATAATCTTTTGAATAACACTTGCATAAACACATGTGCACCATACCTAACTATTTAGCGACCAACCCCAAGCAGCAGAGGAGCCCATTAGCATGCTCCAAAGCAGCCTAAATGGATACAGACAGCATGCTGTCCCTGGTCAATTAAAGACCTAAAAATAAAGAATTCAAAAACGGGGTGGGAAAAGCAATCTCAAGTCTTGGCACAGCACAGCAGCAGTAACAAAACTTGGCAGCCGGCTGCCCATGGCTGGCCACTACAGGAACTTTGCAGTGGAAGGATATTTACAGTCCAACAATTATTTGTTGGGAGAAATCACTGCTCTTATTTACTTTCTGTGGCCTTATTGAGAAAATTCCCAAACCCCCTAATCCACAGACAATCAAGACTATGTGTTACTGAAGAGAGCTGAATGAGCAGCTCTCAAGTTGACCCTGAGACCCGCTGATCAGGATGGCTTTGGAGTGCTCTCACTTCAAGATTTCCTCACGGGCAGCCTGACTGATTGGCTGAGGGCAGCCAGACTTCTCGTTGACCAGTTGCTGCTTCCTGCTGTGCAACAGCTGACTTGCACTTCCATAAATACGCCACAACACAGTAAGACATGCCATCAGCTTGGGCCGCGTGTGTTTTCTCCTCCAGGCGGTTGACAGCCTGACTGCTGAATCTGAATCACAAAAAAACGCTTCTAATGAAATCCATTTTCTCTCATTTTGAAGGGATTACTTTTTAGCCATCAAAATGAATGAAAACAGTGAAACCACTTCATGATTACCCCACAGCAGTCACTTCTTCAGAAGGGAACACGCCAAAGCCATCTCAACCACTGCTCTGATGCAAGTAAATAAACAGTTAGCACAACTGAGGGAAACAATCCTAGGGGTGATACGAGCTGATAAGTCTATGACAGAGCAAGCAGCCAAATCTGACCATAAGGTGTAAATCCGACTCATCAGTGAAGTTGGCCGACATGCTTATTCTATGTTTAGGTAGTAGAAGGAAGTGGACACTAAACATCCAACAAGTCCCTATTTCTAAATGACTGCCCTATAAAGAGGCCAATTTGTTTGTCCCCGGATGTAATATTATTGTAACTGATACTTTCAAACTTTAAAAGAGACTGAAAACTGCAGATAAGACTTAATTTGGTTTTGGCACATTGCTGAGTTAGTGACTGAGAAGTAACAAGTGCGGCTGAAGTAGAATCCCACATCCCAGATCATGTTTTTCACCAATCTTTCTAATGGGGTCCAAATGTTTTTAGTTGATTATTTTCTAAAAAAACAGATGAGTTGTTCTGCATGAAATCAGAACAAAATAATACCATAATATAATAATTAAAACACAACCAAGACAGATTGCTCAGCTAATTAGTTTATTATGTAATTTTGTTAGAACTATCGTAAAAAGGTCATTTCAATAAGCATAAAAATAGGGACACATTGTTTCTATGTGTTCCACATCTTTGGAGGCGCTACTGCTCTCCTTGTCGCAAAGCTTAATGCGACCAAACTTAAGGATGTTATTCCCATCCCCGTGTGTATGTGTATGCATTTTGCGTGAGTCGGTTTGTGTGCACTGCTCAGTGAGTGGGTGTGTTTGTTTCCAACACCAGTTATTATCACAGCACTAATTACCCAGGGGGATTGTGGGTAAACAAATCATCCTAAAGAAAAGAAGCCCACAGAGAAGCAGGAAGAGGAGGAGTGGAAAAAAAACGTGTTGGCATAAGAAAACAAGTGAAGAACGCGTGCGGTCTGAGAGGAGACTTAAAAGCGTGCCCTGCTGCAGACTCCAGCTCCAGCAGAAACCTGGCCACGGAAACACTGCTGAGCTCTGCATGTCATCAGCTCCACGGTGTTCCTCAAAAAAACTCCAGATCTGCACACCTGATTCAGTCGCAACATGAGGAAAATGTCTGCGGCCACATTTAGTCAGGTTTATGTCAGATTATGTCCAAAGAAAGGATCACAAGCTAAATGCCGTGGCTGTAATATCTTACCCCCTCGAACACTGGACTCTGCTTATGACAAGAAGCTAAATGAAATGTCTGATGACACCATAATTAAATTCTGAGCATGAGCAACTTAGACTAAACACCACAGGGCAGCAGTCCATCGAGCCAAGTGCGCTATTTCACAGTGTGTACGTTTATGATCTATATCCACGACTACATTTAATAGTTGCTCCCTTTGAACACATTCCACCACTCCTTGTTATCCTCACAACTCCACTCCACCCTACAATCCAATTAAGATCAGAGTGAGGTAACTGATAAACCACAGACTGAGCCAAAATAAACCCAAATAAGAAATTATACAGAGTTTGTTTCAAAATGTCTGGTTTCTTGAAACACCAGATTGCAAAGAGAAGACAGAGCTGCTTTAGTGGATGTGTCACACGTCTGAGTGGATCAGAACAGATACACCGCCTATCATGATGCAGTGGAGAAAACGTGTAATCATGGAAATGACACCGAATTTAGTCATTATAAATAAATTGTAAATATCTTAAGAAAAATTTATTTGATTCAATTCAATTTGGATGTTGTTGGGCTTCATATTTGTTCATATAGTTCAATAGGTCCTCCTGATAGCTGCTTCTGTATGTCTGTATCTCTTTGGTTTACACTGTTTATTAATAGATAAGTACAACTCAGATTTAACTACTGTGCATCTTTCAGGAGAAATTGCCACCACGTCTTATTTTTCTGCATTGGATTTCTTTTCCTAATATATTTTGAAAAGAAATATGTGAAATCCAGGTAGCGATTCATGAGTTTCTGAGTAATTCATGATCGGCTCTTGTTCCACAGATTTAAAGAAAGCCTAAGACGCAAAACTTGCCTGATGCGTGGCAGTGTAAGAACAGTTCATTTAACCTGTCGCCTGCCTGTTTAATCTTTTCTTTTAGCTTTAGTAAAATCAGAGTTTGTGCTTCTGTGTTTGTGTTTCTGCGCAATGACACTGGCTGAATGGTCACCAGTGTTTAATATGTTGGTCAAAATGCTTCAGCCTCCTATTTAAGGTGTGAAATCTGTTTTTTTGGTACTTAACTGTCACGATTCACAGAGGGGACTCTTTGAGAAAGCTCAACAGTAACTAATTCATTCTCTAGTTACCAGAAAATGTGTGTGTGTGTGTGTGTCATGACTCACATGGCTAACATTCATTCTCTGCCACTCCTCTCCCTTCTCATCTCTTTGGCTGTAGACATCAGAGTGCTCACTCAGCCTGAGTGCTGCACTGCCTGTGTTATGAATGGAAAGACACGCCTACGTACACAGACGTGCGGCAGTCACACATGCAGGCACAGACATACAGACCACACACCCCCATGTTTGTCGAAAACATCCTGTTCCAAGAAAACATGCGGCAGCCCAGACAGGCTGGAGCTGTGCGGAGACGGGAGGAGACACATCCACAGGGTGGAAAAGGTTGTGAGCTTCGAACAGCATCCTTGATAATATGGAGCTGAAACAGTGAGCTAATGAAATGATAAGTTGCCTAACAGATGAATGCTCTGCAACCATGTCCATACAATCGATTCACTAATTTCAACAAATGGGCACATTTTTTTGCTTTTCTGTGTCACAGCAGAGTAAAACATGCCTTTGGATTCAGGGCTTTTGGTTATCAGACAAAGCTTCTGAACACTGGGCTCTGGACAAATCAAAGCACATTTCAGTACATTTTTAGTGTATAAAAAAATCATTAATGGTTGATGACACCATTTATTATCACAGCTCAGGCATGAAATGTACCTGCACAAAAGAAAACAAACACAGACTGATTAGGAATAATTCAAAATAGATCAGGGTAATTCTAATGACCTCTAATAAAAATATTAACATTAGGCATACCTAAAAAATCTTTCAGACAAACCAAAAACCCAAAGTTTATTGCATCCAAAAAAAAAAAAAAAAAAGAAGGCTGAGAACTTGTGACTTCATCTAACTTAAAATGATAATTGTCCATCACTGCTCCACAAAAGGAGCTCAGGCTATGATTCTAAATGTTTATCCTGTGAAATGAATGTGTTGGATGCGTATTGTTGTTGCATATTGATATTAATCCACTTAATTTTTAAGATGCCATTCTGTAAGTGTTAAAAGCCCTCTGAGCCAACAGTTACTACAAAAAATGGTTCAAAAGTAAAACATTTAACAGCATGCCATGGTGATTTTTTGGCTCATATTCTGTGAGATGCAGGCTGCAAAAGGTGTTAATTCTCACAAGTACATTCTAGAAATATGTTTTTAAAAGCAGGTTCTACATGCTGGGCATGTCAGAAAGTGAAAAACAGTCAACATTTCTGTAAGGCTCCTATCATTCCAACTTAACATCTTTAAAGAAAGAAAGATCTGCTTAAAGAAAGAAAGAAAATCTGCCAAGTATCGTAATATGCAAGTAGTGCTGTAGAGAAAAGGGTGACAGCAAAAACCAGAAGAACAGCAATCATGACGAAGAGAGAAATCGACCCGCTGAAGTCTGAAAACAAGAATACATTTCCATTACTAATGTGGACCATCAGCACAATTACTACACTACCAGATCAAAAAAATAAAGATAAAAATAAGAGTTGCACACCATAATTTCACCTATCATTTGATAATCGGGCGGCACGGTGGTGTGGTGGTTAGCACTGTCGCCTCCCAGCAAGAGGGTTCTGGGTTCGAATCCCGGGGGAACCAGGACCTTTCTGGATGGAGTTTGCATGTTCTCCCTGTGTCTGCGTGGGTTCTCTCCGGGTTCTCCGGCTTCCTCCCACAGTCCAAAAACCTGCATGTTAGGTTGATTGGAGATTGGGGAAATTGCCCTTAGGAGTGAATGTGAGTGTGAGTGGTTGTTTGTCCTTGTATGTCTTGTGTGTGGCCCTGCGATGGACTGGCGGACTGTCCAGGGTGTACCCTGCCTCTCGCCCGTTGACCACTGGGATAGGCTCCAGTTCCCCCCCGCGACCCCATGAGGGAATAAGCGGTATTGATAATGGATGGATGGATGGATGGATCATTTGATAATCTTCTGCTATGCCACAATCCAGAGTTTCATTGATTTTTCTGCCAGATCTTGTGTGGATGATGGGAATCGGACCTCTGCCTGAAGCCTTCTGCAGCACATCCCAGAGCCTCTCAGTGGGGTTCAGCTCCGGACTCTGTGGAGTTGATCCATGTGTGGAAATGATGAGTCAGGCCTCCTGAACCACTACTTCGCAGCGTGAGCCTCATGAATCCTGCTTTGTCACCGTGCCATCAGGGGACAATAAACACACTGACGGAGCACCGTGCTCATTCAGTATTTTCAGGTAGTCGGCTGACCTCGCTCTTTGGGCTCGTAATGTTGCTGAACCTTGTACTGCCCCCCCACAGGCTATACAGGATGCACTAGGCATGATGGGTAATCACTTCCTCTCCCTCTCTGCTTATGTATAAACACATTTAGGGTGTTACCGCCGGATTTGAGTCATTCTCTCTCAAACAGGTCTCAAACAGCAAGACAAGTGTGTGTTCATTATGTAACTATTGTCTTTCAAATGCTATTGTCACCAGGAGAGGCTGCAGGAAATCATTTTAATTCCCGTTTATCCCTCCAGTAATAATGTTGTCTCTCCTCTCTCAGATATTACTTGAACACTGGCAGGAGAAGTAGTAACAGCAGGAGCAGCGGTAATCGGGGTGTGTTACAGGACATGTGCAATGACTTTGCTGAAAAACTCAATTTCCTCTTTCACCTCTCAGCCGACATCTTCACACCTACACCCACTCAGCAACCCTGACGCACACACCAACACAAGCATACCAACGTGTGCCTCGCGCACACTCTCGCCACTCGCTCTCATTCACACGCGCCGTCCTAAACTCATCAGCACTTTTTTCCCCACTTTCCTCAGCATGCTTCATAATTATCACATAGCAGCTCATTGCGCACTGTGCCATCTGTTAGGTGGAGAGCACGCACACCAAAACCCAACCCATCCACAGCCACCGCGCGCTGCCAGATGCTGGAGATCTGGGATTAATAAAAGCTACCATGTATAACTGCGTTTGAAGCATATCATTAACAATTTCCAATAAGAGGATAAAGAACTGCTGTGGGAGCAGAGCAGCAAGAATTCAAGACAAAATGCTTCAAAGAGGACGTAAAACATGGTGACATGTTCAACATTTTCATTTTGGATGAAAAGGTAGGTCAGAAGCAAGTTTTGCTTGTTATTTAAATTCTAATCTATTACACATTACAAACTGAATGAAGAAAAACAAAAGTCACATGTTGATAGGAACAAAAAGCTGCACCTAGGGCAGATCTTCATTTATTCAGTGTCTTAAATTCTGCAACATTTGGACATGAAAAGTATCAGTCCTGACTGTAAATAAGAAAGTATCTAAATATATCAACTGGATTGATCTTTAACCTGGTTGTCGGTGAGAACGTTGTGTGAATCCAAACAAAATTGAGAAGAAATTTCACTGCTTGCTCTGAACATTAGATAACATTTTATTCCGTTTCCTACATCATGCTGCACGCTGTAATAATTACAGGGCAGAATGTGTTTGCAACAGGAACGAGAAGCTTTTTGTTTGTGCTCGCACATGTTGGATCATTTAGCTCAGGTCGTTTGGGTAGGCTTACTGCTTCACAGCTCATCAAAAGCAAGTGATCTACATCTGCAGAAATGAAAGACGGGCTCCAGCTTCAAGAGGACACGCTGACTGTTACCAAACACGGCATTTTCCAAAGGGGGAGGATATGTTGTTCCAGTGCTCTATCTTAAACATGTTACAGAAAAGCCTGCTGACAAGCGCACCATGTTTCTCGGAAGGTAAAGGCACTGGAGTCTGATTTCTATCGACATCCTGTCACCTCCACCACAGCGAGCTTGGGTGGAGGGAAAACTCATACAAAATGTGTGCAGAAAAAAGAAAAAAAAAAGCACTTCATATGATGTGAATTTAAAAATGAATAAGGGTGAATCTTTTTGGTTCAAAACAAGAGAAAAGAAACTGTAGTTGTGATGGCTCCCTAGTAATCTTTAATGAGTATCTCTACAGGCTGGTGACACCATCCTTACCTGCCAGGACCTTTGCAGCAGCCAATTAAACATCAAGCGGCGCTGACATCGGGATAAATTAGACCTGCTGTTTATAATTTATGCATTCGTTATCATGGACCTGCCCGCACATCAGTCCCAGAGCTGGAACATGATCAAACATCCTCACTTTCCCTTTATGCAGCTTCAGAGGGGACTTCTACAGTGTGTGTAGGGGGGGACTCCCCTTCTTCAATTATTTATAGGAAGCCCTCATGCATCTGTGACTTTCTGCGACAGGCTGAGAAAGCGCAGCCGAGCGGCACAGAGCCGCCTTCTTCCTCTTCCCAATTACTCTTCTCTCTTCCTCTTATCCCCTTGTCAACAACCATTTTTCTCTGTTGTTTTCTGCTCCGTCTACAACTTTATTTTAACCCCATTGTCTGCCTACTTTTACTACTTACCCAACGCCAACTTTGCCTCTCCGCTACACTGCATTCTTACACTGTTCTCCATCTTTTTCCTCCTGTCTTTTATCTTTCAGTCATGCTCCTCGTTGTCTTCTCATTACTCTACATTTTTAAATCTGCCCCCTTTCCCCTCTCCTATTCTGTCCTCACCTTTATTTCTCTCCCTTTGAATCCACTCCTTTCACTTCCTCTCCCCTCCAAACCACCTCTTTTTTCTTGTCCCCTCAGTGACCTCTCCTCTCCACTTTCTGTCTCCTCTGTTCTTCGCCACCAGAAAAAGAAGCGATGAGGATGGAGGATGTGTCAGAAGAGGGGACATCTGTGGAGGAGTGTGAACTCCCTCTGAAGAGTCAGCATTGAAATAATTCATATTCTTCTCAAACATCTCCATGTGTTACTCTGCCTACTCTCTCTGTTCTTTTCCGCTCCACTCGCTCTTCACCTCTTCTTCTTTTATCACTCTTCGTCATTGTCCACACGGTCACGGCATTCATTTGATTATTCAGACTAGTTTATTACATAAAGCACATTCATTTGACTTTTAATCCTTTTTTGTGATTTGCACTTGTTTAATTTCTTGTCATTTATTTTTACAGAATAGTTCACTGTTTAAAAAGAGTTGGGGGGGGGTTTCTGTAGAAGGACCGGTATGTTTCACTGACATCATTGGTCAGAGCTCTGCAAATTTCTTGAACAACAAGGATTGCACATTTCTTTAACATCTCTAAATTACACTGCCCGTGTTCTTTTCAGTGTACTGTCCTTCACACAAACACGGTGCGTTCAAATACAGCGGACTCAGGCTCAGCAGCATAATGAATCCTTCTGGAATTTGTCATGAGAACAGGTCCTTTTATCTTGGTTTTATCTCGATAAGCTTAAATAAAATAACAGAAAAATCAACAACAATGCAAGAATTTGAATTAGGATTAAAAGTAATTAGTCATCCTTGATTGTGATGTTTGGTGGTCTTCTTCATCTCCGACAGTAAATATTTTCTCATTTTGAACTAAAAATTAGATAAAAACAAGCAACTTGAGTCTTTTATCATGTGTTTCACTATTATTTTGGCTTATTAATTAGTGAAATATCCAACAGGGAACATAAGAATTTTTAATAATCAAACACACAGTTGCAGGCCTTCTTTTATAAACCACTGCATCTGCTTTGAAGAAGTAAGACATTCTTTAAATATAGTAGTTCACAGATTTATCTTTCTGAGGCCCTTTTAGCCAACTGATTACCCCTGTGTATAGAGTGAGACTGGTATTTCCATTTGTCACTAATTAAAATCCCTGAAGGGATTGCAGCACATGAAACCAAACACCTGAAAAAAGTCCTCCAATTTGAGGACCCCACATCTTTTTTTAAAAAGGAAAAAGTGATATTTGAAGACACGGGCGTCTCGTGGACATCGACTCTGAGCAGTTTGTGGGTTCAGCCTCCACATGTGTGCCTGTATGTGTGTGTGTGTGCTCACCGAGGAATAGAGGTGCCCCTCCCCGTTCATGGCGATGTAGAGACCTGTCTTCACTGATTGGATGGCCACGACTCTCAGACCCACAGGAATTAAGTTAAACAGAGCTGAGGATGAAAAAAAACTTCAACTAAGTTATTTGAAAATATCATAAACTCTGAGATTTAAATAGTCATTTTCTCTATTTCAGCATTATAAAACAGATTTTAATTGACTCCACAAAGCCTAAAATCTCCCTTTCAAATGAATGATGTAGTTAGCCAAGTCTGCATAATCCAAACCGGACCACTTTTTCCACAAGAAAAAAAAAACAGATTCAGAAAACCTTGGTTCAGCATATTGGAATCAGAGATATTACAGCTTTTGACATTTCAATACTTGCCCTTTGCTGTAAGTTGTTTGAAGACACAGACCGACTCTCAGCTCCTTGAGGTCAGGTCTAAAGAGCGCTGATGGTAAAAGGGTTAGACAGCCGATCGCCTCGGGCTGCCATTTGAAAAGACAGTCGCTGTGCCATTACCTTCAACCATTTTCAGGACTGTTTTATTTTGGGGAGTTTAGTTCTTTTAATTTTTCTCCTTTTGAAGGAAAGCAGAAGCCAAATTTGTAAAAGAAATGATACACGGAATTGAGTTAAAAACATTAGCTGATGATTTGTTGAACAAAGAACACCGGTTTGTGGTTAAAAAAAGGAACAGACTTTATCACCACAATAGAAACGTGTCCTCAAAGTTTGTGTATATGTCAATAAAGTTTGATAGTTTCTGTGAGAGACATTTTATCCCAAGACAAATGCTTTAGCATGAATGATTTTTCAAACTTTAGATTTGTTTGCCAACTGGGAAACAGACGTGGACGCTGTGACTTCAGCTAGACTAAACGGGTGAGTTCTCTCACCGAGGTCATCTGAAATGATGTCCCTTTAACCCGGAACCCTCGGATCAATCTTATTGATTTACCTGCTGAGAGCCAAGCTGTTTTGAAAAAAAAAAAGTCGCACCTGAATTAGAAAAAAAACAGTGGCCTGAATGGCCAGCTCTGTCATTAAGCAGACCATTTTTATATGAACAGATACTATATGAGCAGAGTGTATAAAGTCTGAACCAGGACCTCCAGCTTCTGTTTGACAGTCTAAAAGGACGATTTTCAGTTATAAAAAAAAGACCATAGATTGTTTTTGTTACTATTTATATCATTATTCATTCTCATTTATGCTGTTCACTGTGTCTTAAATCATGAGTCATTCTTTGTCTTTCCATTACCTTGAATAAAAAATAAATACATTTAAAAAACTGTCTACAGATGCAATATGTCCTTCCAGTTACTCCCAGGTTGCTCCATCACATTATCAAAGCAGCTCAGAACACACTAATTAATATCAGCATTTGGACACGCCCGTCACATTTACGCAGCCACTCTCCATTTAAGCCAACAGAGTTGGTTACAGAATGATGAAATGATTAGTATGTCCTGCACACTGGGCCTTTAAGACAAGAGGATGGAGCTCAAGAGCGATGCTCCCCATAATTAGATGAACCACCTCATTTTGAGGACCAATATCTACATAATTATTTTTAAAAAGACCAACAACAAACTCATTAGTGAATTTAGTAAATTATAAGATAATGACTCTACCCAAACCCTTTGATGTCTGTCTGCACTTCGCTCTTCAAACAGCATCTGTAATTTTTGCAAATGACTACGACTGAACTAAAGTCAAGTTTAACGTCACTTCACCTTGTTTAAACATGTCGGCTGCTCAGTTTACAGAAATTGCAACAAGCATGATTATAACGACTGAGAAATGGGAAAGCACAACAAAGAATAAGGAGATTGTAAAAAGGAGGGCATTCAAGAATGTTTGCATATATTTTTATTAGATTTTTATATGAGTTTTGTGCATTGTGATCTGCTTTCATTTGGGAAAGGTTGCACTCCTTTATTGTTTTTCCTCTTTTATGCTGCAGTCTGGTTCCTGACTCGCTTTTTCCGTCTCATTTTGTGGAGGTTTTCAACAGTCATTGATGACGTAATCATCTTGGGCCTCAGCGGCTTCTTTCTGATTAGTTGCTGCAGACTCAAGCTCCAACTTAAAAATGTTCATGCAATGTACTCACATCTAAGATTTGTGACTCCTGAGTATTGTGCTGTGCCAAAAACAATGTCCCAAATATTCTGCATGATGAACCAATTTCACTTTAACTATTTATATTGGAGCAGCTTCTCTTTTTTTTTTTTACTATTTTCAACCAGTAAACACATTATTTTCAGAAAATCTTTAGAATAAAGTTTACTTTCTCACTAAAAGAGGTCAATGAAGTAATGACTGAAGCACAGATTTAAAAAAGATGTAATTTGATGTGTTTTTAACAGTCTCTTAAAGAATTAAACATAAAGAAAAGAAATGTGAAAGAAATTTGATGTGTTCTTGAAGTGAAAGAATTTTTTTAATTACAGAAAATTTGGATTTTAGAAGAGGAACTGCAACAGTATATCTATGAAAAAGCACTCCTAATAAACCATATTTAAAATTCTACACAGTATTAATTCTAATTCATGCAGCCAGCAGATTATAGGTGATAGAAGAATTAAATGGTGTGGTAAATGTACTCTGTACCCATTTTATCTGTGCAGGGTCACGGTGGGTTGGAAGCAACCCAAGCTGACACAGGGCAGAGGAGGGGTATGAACATGGCAACACATTTTAGCTTCTGGAAAGTCTATTCAGTGAGAGGGAATTTAAAACAGTGAGAGTAGATGTGTCAAAGAAAAATAAATTACAGTAAATGCATAAAATATAATTAGGCTGAGTGCAGATACCAGCCAGATCACTGATTGGCTTTGGTTTCGTCTGCGGTTTATTTTCATATAAAATTTGAAGAAAACACTAAAAATACCACTCAACGAAATTATCTGTCCATCTCAGCTCCCTCCAGGGGGCTGTGGTGGGTGCAGAGGTTCACTAAACTGAGCCTTAAGACAAACTAATCTGATCAGCCATGTCCGGCTTTCAGCTCAACAGGTGGGCTGAAAAACTAAAGTCTCCCTGATGGAGTCATGATAAGCACAGTGTGCTTATCATGACTCACCATCCTTCATGGCCTCCTTCATGTATTCCCTCACTCAGTAAATGTCAACAGCTAAGAACCAGTCAGTCAGATCAGTGACTCAATGTTTTACCCGAACAAAACATTTATTTGTTCCATGTAATTTAAAAAAAAATCTTAACATTTTCAGTTTGGCTACTGCAGATATAATTAGTTTAAATTTGGGAGTACCGTATTTTGTTGCAGCACTCAAAGATGATTGGATTTCATTGTGTCCCTAAAAAAAAAAAGAAGTGACGCAACCTTCTTCACATCAGCTAAGTACTAAGGCACTCACATGGCATCACTGAAAACCATTAGGCCTTGAGACAGCTTTTCAAAGAAAATCTGTAAGTCTCCTCACAGTTTACTTTCTCTCCTCTCAGTCTTTCTTCTTACAGCACTTGTTGCTGAGCCTCATACTGTCCAGCAACATGCATGCAGCTGAGCCTCTGATGCTTTTGAATTCACAATCTTTTGAAGCACAAGTTACTGAGTTAAATGACTATTTCTGAGACTGGGTTTCAGCAGACCGAAAGCGCTTCACGGGGCCGCGATAACAAAAAGCACGTCCATACACATCAGATTTTCAGTGTGCCTACTCACAGGAGTTGGTGCTGTCATCTTTGGTCCCATCCAGACTTCCATCCTGGCCCATCTGGAGATAGAAGCCCTGTCTGCAGAACAACCTGGTCACTATGCCCTTCAGCTGTGGTTCTACACGCCACAAAAGCACACACAAAAGACAGAAAACAGAACAGTGATCCAAATGATCATGTTGGATTATTCTTTAGCTTTTGCAGCTCCTCCATCTCGAACTTCAATGATACAGAATTTCTAATTAGTTTAGAACTTTGTAATTCATGCACAATATCATCCTCAGTTCCTGTGCACGTCTTAAGGGGCAGTTTTGTGAAATAACAGTTTTTACGAAGCACAATGTGACCACATGTAACCTCTGACATCCTGAGGGATTTCCTTTGGGGAATTTAGCCAAGCATGTCCAATCCATTACAGGAACCCTGGACTAATCCTCCCTTCGTGCTCATTGTTCCACTTCAATAATTGATCAATTATTTCAGAGGCTTTGATGGTAAAATGCAATCTTACCGTAGTTTTGGATGAACTCTCATGCAGAGCTGCTCTTATAACTACCATCATTCATTGATTCTTGATCTGAAAACATTTCCGAATACGTTTCGATGAAATGGCTCTCCTGTGTAATCGTTTCTTAGTGTCTTAGTGATCCAGTGACGTACAAGATGTATGATAAACTGATGTTTAACATTTGCACCTTTCATTTTTAAAAAAAATAGACTCCCTGTCATGTGGCAGCAAACCTTTAAAAAAAAAAAAGGGGGGAAGAGGGGGGGGGGGGGGGGGGGGGGGGGCTGAGCACCCGACAGTAGGACTATCAGGATGAGATGTGAAAACAGTACTGAGCTAAACAAAAGGCGCTACTAAGGCTTCAAACTAACTGTCAGGGAAAATTCACGAGAGGATCGAACAGAAACAATCACAAATGGAGTCTTCTCTACTAAATAATAATAAGAAAGCTAAGAGAGTGGTGACATCAATGTTTTCATATCTTTATTTTCTCCAGCCTTTCAAAAAATGTTCCTTTGGGCATCGACTGCTTTTCACCCAATTTTTATGTTTTTGTTGAAGATAATTGACGGTGTTTCATCATTTTCAGAATTAAAAAAAACCCCACCGGATCCAAAATGAGACAGCAGATGAACAGGATCTGAAGGTCATAATAGGAATAAAATCTAGTTAAGATCTCCCACAAAAACTGAGAAATGCATCAGGACCTTCGACTGAATCATCCACTGTTTGCAGGAGAATTAATCCTGAAGACGTTTTAAAAGAAACTAAATGAAAGCTTGTCTAAAAAGGTCCAGACTTGATTGTCAGGCTTAATATAATTCTGCAAACTTTGTTCTTCCCTTATACGCTGCTGATAGACATTTTAAAAACATTTCTGATGTGAAACACTGCAGCAGCCTTTTCAGTGTAAAGACTACCTGCTTCTTTTCACGCCGCTGCATCCCTTTAACATTTTAGAGCTCATGCATGACTATGACATTCATAAATACTAATTAAAGCAACAGCTGGTTTCATTTTGATCGATTTGTAATGACTGGACTGCAGATGTTTGTATCATTATGGATCAGATGCCATGCCAACGCAGATTTTTTTCTTTTAATTACTTAACACTGTGCTCTGGGCTATTTCATGCTGCTGCAATTAAACAGAAGTCCCATTTGCCACTTGCTGTTTGGCTCTCAAATCATGCAATCCGACCAGAAATTAAATTGCAAAATGGCAGACAGAAGTACAGCAAGTAGAATTAGTCATTACTCCCTGTACCTACACATGTTGCCAGTGGTTAGTAAACCTGGCCACACACATCCATCCACAGCTGCACTGACACACCCACAATCCCTCCATGAGACACACACCAGTGAGTGTGCAGTTCTAATAAGGCCGGGGAATCCCTTCAGCGGGGGAGACATGGTGTGAATCTGTGAAGGTATACCCTAATTCACAGAGACAGAAAAAAGCTCAGACTGACCCAGTTTTAAGAGCATGAGCACATGAGAGACAACGGCCGGGGCGTTTTCCGCCTCTGAAGGATCCATCTTGTGCAGAGGGGAAGTGGAAGCAGAGGAGCTGTGAAGCCTAAACGCAGCGGCTGAACCGTACGAGTCGGCCGTGGCAGACAGCAGCTGCATCCCTCCACCCCCACCGCAGAATAATGACGGAATGACGACAAAGTCTATGAATCAGCACGGTTCAGAACAACTGCACTCTGCTGCTGCTGCTACAGCAAAGATGAACGATCACGTTGTGAAGAACTTTTCCCTGATGGCTGAGGCGCTTTGCGTTGATCTAAATCAAACACGACCAGCATCATTCAAACTGTCCCTCCACTGTCCCTCTATCCAGGCCTGTGTGACAGTGTTTCAGGAAGAAGACCGACTGGTGGCCTTCTTTTTCTAGTTTGACATAAAAAGTGAGTGAAGAAAGTTTGTAAAATTGTATTTCTGAAATATAATTAAACCTGAGGAACAAAAAATCATGCCCTTTGGACCCATGTGTCCCTGATATAAGAGGAGAAAGTGCAGTGCTAAAAAGAAGTTTCCCCAAATCCAGTCAATCAATGACAAATCATACGGAAATCATTCCAACAGAATAATTGTTTTTGTTTTTTAAAGGAGTGAAAATGTTGGATTTTATGCCAAAGAAATATTGATTTTATTTTTAAATGTTTACTCTTGATTCTTACATTCTACAGAAATTTTCAGGATTAACAGTAACCAACACAATGGATAACCAAGTCTGTAAAAACAAAGAAATAAAGTAAAAATAGCTGAAAAATGTTAAGTACAACAACAGCATGATAGGAAAACCATGAAAACACCAACGAGGAGACCTTCGGAGGCTTTAACTGCCAGCAATTATGGATCCGCTATCCTCCAAAGGAGTGTCCTTCTGCATTTATTCATCATCTCCCTTTGCGTCTGTTCCTCTGCCTGCGTGCCCATTTTCTCCCCCAGAACCAGCACAGACGTTCCGACAGTCATCAAGGTGATATTCCCACTCTTCCCAGAGCTTCCATGTCCCGTCTGTTACTAGGGAAATTCCCATTCTGGAGTTGCCATGGCAACAGTCTCGTGATTCCAGACTGTTCCAAAGAAAGGGTATTCCCCCATCCACACACACACACACACACACACACACACACACTCGCATACAAATAATTGTATTTTTCCCATTTGGTGATGAGATTCAGCCAGTCAGTCCATCATTCTGTCATGTGGATTTGAAGTGTCATATTGTCTTTTAATTCGCTTCAGTCCGAGTCCACACGCAGAGCTAAAGACCATGTATAATACCACTGTAAGTGAGGCACTCAAGAGGTTTTCTTTTCCGCGCACACACACAGACACACGCAGCACTTCACCCCACAAAAGCACCAAAATGAGGAATTCATGTGCAGAAAATGAATGCACTTATTTCATCCTCATTCACAACAGCTTGAAGTCATTACAGGAACATGTAGTACTGAAAAGGACCGATTCATATGCATGTGCAGTGCCGTGTTTAAACAAAAAGAGAAATTCTTAACCTGAATTCATCCCCCAAGATGTCATCATCCAGTGCCTTGGCTTTTGTAGAAGGCGTTTAGTAAAAAAGAAAAAACTCTGCTGTCATCTATTGATCATGCTCATCACAGTGCATCCACCAGAAAGCCCCCAGAACAGCCTGTACAGACAACCGGTTTGTCACAGACATATGGAAAACAGAGCTATAGAACCTCATTTCTCTGGATTACATTAATCACTAATAATGGTGTAGATTTTAAAAAATCTCTTTAAAAAAATACTCATCCCAATATCAGCATGCGCATTATGAATACTGCATAAGGGTTTTTAAGGAGAGCTGCATTTCACTTCATGCAACTCTCCACCATGCACAGAAGAAGAAAAACAGACCTCATTACTACAGCCAAGATTATAAGTATTTGTTTAAAGGAGTTTCATGACATCACTGCAACATCCAACCATGATTCTGCATGTTTTCTATACATCCAATGCTGGCTGTTTCATCTTTAGAACGCCATTTTATCAAGACCAATTCCCGCTTTCTACCCAGAGTCAGCCTGGTGTTGTGACACGGAAACAGAGCAGCCGGGCTGTCATTTTGTTGGCCTCTGACTCATGTTCCTCCAGGAGGTGTGCAGATGTTCCGAGGTCAGCTGGGAGAAACAGTCCCAGGTAAATACCAGGTGAGATTGTTACCTCTGGGGGATTTGCAGCTTTAAAAAAACTTTCATTTTTGCATTTTTAAAAACATTATGTCTTATTTTATCTTTGGTGTCCTTAACAGACCTCTTGATAAGTGTGATGGGCACCTAATGAAGGGAGGCAGTGACTATTTCAATACCCTCTGACTCCTCTGTGGTGGATTCTCATTTGAGCTTTTCCACACTCACAGTCACTAAGCAGGGTTTAAAATCCCGGCTGTGGCTGTAAAGAGCTCTTCAGTTCAGCACCCTTCCCAGCCACAGAAGCTAACCAGCAGTTAACCTCATGCTCCTCGTTAAACGCGGCTCAAAAACAAGACACACGGTGACTTGAACTTAGCGAGTGTGCCACAGATGCGATGCTCACTTTTACATCATCTTTTGGAGCTCAACTGTCAGAGAGAAACCTGAATAAAGTCTTGACTTCAGATCAAGGCTTTGTGCGAAGCTGCATACAGCCAGATGTCAAAGTGCTTATCATATTTTGACATGTTTTCACCAACTAAGGAGAAGAGGTTCAAGGAGATTCAGAGATTAGAATGAGTTGTTTGTGTGAAATTTTCTTTGTTTCAAACCTTTGTTTCAAAGAGAAATGTTCTGTGGCAGACTGACTTTAACTGAAGCAAAACATTTTTTTAAATGCCACAGCAGTGCAAATTTAATTGTTTTATATTGTCTGTAAATTTGTGTGCATGTGCATGCCTAAATTAATTACAAAGCAACTGCACAAACCAACTAAGACCAAAGTTAATCACCTCAGGCTGCAGGAGACAGTCACTACTGTTTACATATTAATTGCAGATGAAAATGACTATTTGTTGCAATAGGTTCCTTCTCCATTTTCCTCTTGCAAATAAATGGATAGATAAGACATACGCTTCAACGGGACAATCTCCCTTCATCTGTATGTGAGAAGAGACATCAGACGATGGTGCCCACTACAGAGGCTCAGTCAGTCCGTTTCAACTCACCATTTGTGTGACGCACAATCTAAGGAAGCTGCTCATCCTTTCTATGATAATATTATTCTATTGATATATATATATATGTATGTATACATGTTGCATGCATAAATGTATAAAGGCAGAAGTGAGAGTGAATAAATCTGTCTGTATCCTTAAAATCCTGCCATATGAATGTGTCACAGCTTAAGCGAGGAGATGTAATATCAGAGGACCTCTCCCAGCTGACTCAGCCATCAGGAATTTCTTAAAGCTGCAAAATACCTTTTCAATCAAAGCTATCGAACAACATTTGGGGTGGGGGTTGGGGGGGTCTTGTTATTTTTTAATTAGACCACAAGGTCTTTTCGTGCCATAATCAATTTCTTCCGAGCAAAAGTTGGGTGTTGTTTTGGATCAAATCTTCCCACACAATTTAAATGCTTTATTGCCTCAGATGTTTTTATTAAGTGATCCTGATTCTTTACCAAAAAAAAGTGGACCAGATGGAGTTTCTGTAAATCAGAACTGCAATAATGTGTTTTAAGGGATAAACAAGGTGGCTGTGTCCCAATGTCAGATGAACTCAATCTCATCAGTATGCTAATTTTGCACTGAACTCCATCTTTGAACAAGTAATGAAGGTTTCAGATCAGTTGGAGTCAGGTCTGCGAATCTCTCCTTCACAAAACCTCTGGAAGACAGTAGGGGATGTTGGCAAATCCCTCTCTTTCACATACACACACAGAAACACATGCACAGCACAGAAAATGTCTATGATGCCAAGCTTCCACCACCAGCCCTCACAGCTGAGAACAGACGAGGGAGAGCTGGGAGGAGAAGGCAGGGAAAGAAAGATGGAGAGGAGGAAAAAAGTCAAATGAAACTAGACAGAGGGATGAAAACATGTGAGATTGGAAGGGAGGATCGAGGGGAAGAGGATCAGACGGAGCAGAAATGGGAATTTGGTAAAGGAGGCACGAAGGTGACAAATATATAGAGACAGTGCTGGAGAGGAGAAGAAAGGAGAGGAAGCCAATGTCTGCTCAAAAAAACGAGGGAAACGATGGAGAGAGGAAAAGACCTAAGGTAGGAAGAGGATTAGAATGGAGGGAAAGGAGGGTGGTAATGGGAGGAGAGAGGATAAAGGTTGAGAAAGGGAGAAAAGGGGAAATGAGAGGAACGGATGCTAAATAGGAAATGAAGATGAGAGGGCCGGGAGGAAGGTGAGAGCCAGGATGGAACAAAGAGTAGGCGGAGAAGAGAGCGAAAGCCAAGAAGCTGGAATGAGGTGTGGATGTGGAAAGGTAAAATGCAAAAATGTATGAATAGAAAAACATATGTGGGAATATTGGAATAGGGAAAAATAAGGGAGCATCTGGACACATGCTCCAAAATTTCTGTCAGTCACCAGACCAAACCAGTAAAAACCAACTCATATCAACATGACTCCTCACGTTTGCCTCGCCTCCGTCTCTCCTCCCCTCATTTCCTGGAGCCCCCTTCCCTCCTTTCATCCCCTCCATCCCCTCCATCTTCAGACACACCATCACCTGCTGGTTCCTCGCACAATCAATTGATTACAACAGCACTTATCTCTCTGCTGTTGAATGCTTTCTATAGCACACAATCACAACATTCTCATTAATCTGCATTCACTCCTACAGTACATGCAATCATGTCTCTTTGCTCTGATGGCAAGATCCATCCAGTGATTTAACAATGATGTTAATTTTGGTTTTGAGAGGGACTTGAGATATAAATGGTGGAACACTTTTTTTTCCATTGGAAAAGAACATTGGCATCTGGTTTTACTCCAAAAGGAAAATGGGGAGAATGTGTAGAAGGAAAAGATTAGATCCTTTTATTGTGTTTTTAACTGATATTTTTCTTGCTCATAAGTCTGGGCACTTATGAGCTGAAAATTAGAGTGTGATGTAGAGATCCACAGAGGTAGACACAAGAGGGGGAGAGACTAGACGGACCAATCTGTGGCTTCAATAATAGATGTACCTGGAAACTACTGAACCATAGGGCACTACAAGGCGTGTGAGCGCGTCACCACAGAGAGGAAAGACAGCACGAGCCTGTCAGTCTTTGTTCGTGCATGTGCGTGTGCGTGAGTGTGCCTGCAACAGCCAGGGCGTGAATTCAAATAGCCTGCGTTAACGGTTAGCTGTGCGTAAAAGTACGCGTTTTTGCACGTTTGACGCGCGCGCCTGTGTGTATCAACAGATCTGCTCGCTTGCAACTGAAAGTGAATGCATGTGCATCTGAGCCCCCCGGTTTGCCCCCACACCTTGCCTCCGTAGCCTCCTCTTCTTCAGGCCAAATATCCGGACTTTGGAGAAGATGTCGACCAGGTTCCCGTTGCACAGCCCCTGCTTCTTACCGGGGCTCTTCCGCCGCCGGTGAGTGGTCGGTCGGTGGGCGTGCTGCTCCCTGGCTTGTCGCTTCTGGCGGATCAACCCGCTGGCGATAGCCGCTGCCATGTCTCCGCCGAAAGAGCCGATTCAAAAACAGCCCCGTCTCCGTCCCTGTCTCCAGTCTCTTCAGTGTCCACCGGAGGGGACGGAGCGCAGACAAAACCAGACACAAGCCTCCAATCTGCGCCGTTCCGGCTACACCAGTCCCATACCTCAGCCACAACACAGGAAAGTCCAAAACAAACACTTCACGTTACAACATATTGGCTGTTATCGCTCTTCTTCGGGCCATAGATGGGAACGCACAGAGGTGTACCTGTCCGTCACGTTTCACCGGTCTGCTGTCAGTCAGACAACAGCAGCTGTCAGTGAACGGCTTCTCCGGCCGGAGCCCAAAGCCCGTCTGTCAGCGCGCGTCCCCATGGCCAACAGGCCACAGACGAGCACCTCGGCAAAATGCTGAAATGTCTCGGAAAGCAGGAACGTCCTCAATAAAAAACGCCCGTGTGTATTCCGCTGAGTGAAGCGCGAGGCGCGCGTGCCACTGCGAGCCGCTCCAGCTGTGTGAAACAGTCGCGGACCAGGCGGAGCATCACCGGAAAACCGCTGCTTTGTTTTCAAAATCAAAGCTGAAGGCGCACCGGTCGAAACCGTCATGACTCCCCTCCGTCCAGCCTCTGGAGGGGCGACCTGTTGCTGCCTACAACATGCTGCATTACAACAGCTCTAAAACCGATCATTTAGTTTTTCTTCAACTATAACGCAGGCAATTCTAAATCATGTCGTTTTGAGCAATATGTTTTAGTTTCTACTCAGCTTATATGTAAGGCCTGACCGGGCTTAACCATGAACCTTTTAAATGACATTTTTTCGACAATTCATTAGAAAACTTGACACTTTTTTGCTCATATAGACAGGATAACATTTCAGTATTAGTGGAATGACGTTTGTTTAATATTTTCATTTTCATCTCAAGTTTATTACTTTGAAAGAAATACCCAGATATTCCAGTGATGTTGTTTCAGGCGATTGATGCGCGACGCGTCGAACCACAGCTGCCAGAACCACGCGCAGCACTCAGACGCGCACTAGAAAACAACCGGTTATTCCCAGCTGTGTGTGTCATCTAAGCGGAGGAATATTCCTTCTGCTGTCCACATGACGTCCTGGCCGTCAGGGAAATTGTTGCAGAAATATTGTCTCTTACACTAAAGGGCTATGGCCTGGTTTGAATTGCAATCACCAAAGATGTAACATGAACAAAATTAGGCAAAAGCAAACCCAATAATGGAGCAAAATAACTGAAAGTCGTTTTGTTTTTTCAAAAGATGTATGACCAAACCATGCCAAAATTGAACAAAAAAAAACCTTTAAGCAATAAAAAAAAACCTCATATACCAAAAAGAAATGAGGGAACAAGGAAAACATTTTTTTTAATTAACAAGCACAAATGGTAAATCTTTTTGGATTTAGATCTTTCTAACATTTGCAGACGTACCACAATGGAGAGAAAGTATCAAATGAAAATCACACCCATTGTCGTGCTTTGGCTTGAAATAGGACAAACAATGGATCTTCATGTATGAGAGAGCATTGTTTCATAATGTATCCACAAAGGTCGAGCAGGCAGCGAACCCGGCTCTGCTCATTCCCTCCCCTGACACGTTCCCACCGTCTGTATTCCACTCAGGAAGAGCTGTCTGAATGAAGGGTTTAAAAATGCAAGAGGTGGGCTCAGTTGATGGGCTGATTAGCTGTGGCGCAGCCTCACATGTCTGGCTTCTCAGCTGCACGCGTGCCTATATCCTTTAGGTCCAGGTTTCCAGCTGTAAGCCAATACCTGATGATTGTGCTCACATATGAAGTGACAGCATGTAGGGCAGTAACTCGTTTACTTCCAGTTTTTTAGCTTACTGTTACTAATGTGCCATAATATCATGCAATTGGACAACTAGGATTTTGAAAAGGGTTGTTGTGAGTCAATCTGTTTGTGAATCTGAATTATTTTTTCATTATTATTGTCCATTTTGCTGCATTTTGGCTATCCATCTATATGATAAAACAACAAAACAGCCAAACCAGGACCAGAACCCAGTTGGACACAAAGAAACAATAAATGATTAATTTACTTTTTGCTGGCAATGCAAAATGACCCAAACCTTTAAGGAATCTGTGTCCTTACGATAAATAAATCAAGTTAGCGTTAAACATGCAGGAACCAATGATAATCTTATCAGCGAGTAAGACAATTTATCAGATTCTCGGCTAAGCTGTGTGGTTAATACACAATTAAATAGATATGTCCACAATCCTGTGCAATTTTCCCATTTAGATTCATGAAAAATTACTGATTAATTCCCTGCTTGTGCACTGATATCCCCATCACCAAAAAAGATACAACCTTATCTTTTGCACAAAAAATACTGGATTTCATGCTCCCAAAGGGCCAAACCACCAGTGCCATTCCCAAATGTCAACTTTGCATACGAGCTTCCTCACAGTCCAGTAGGTTGATTGTCATCCAGAATGCAAATTACTACCTTTTCCCTGCAGGGGCAAGGCCTTGATCCCGATGAAAATAGCAGTTTTAACCCGAAACTTGTAGCATAAATCATAGTGGATAACCCATTGTAGGTTATGGAGAAGCAATCCTTCAACTCCCAAATTTGTTGACCATCGTTGAATCTAGATCATGTACATTAAGTTTCAAATAATTGTTTGTTTTTTTTATTCTGTTTGGAGTTGTCATGCCTGTGAATTTTTGCAGGCATCCAAAAATTTGACATGAGGGCAACAGATATAACGGATGTAAAAACCCTATGAGGAGATGCTGTGAGAAGCCATGAACAGAGAATTAGTTTAAAAAAAATGAATGCATGTCTAGACCCATTTCCACAAGGTGGCAGCAAAGCATGTCAGAGAATCAACTGAGCAGCGTTCAGCCTGAAGAGATGAACAGGTAAGCTGCACGTTATCACACTGAGGAAGCCCCCTGCCATTCAGTTCATTCATACAGAAGGAAAGCCAGTCAGATCGGAGTCCAAATGACAGTACAAACACCTAAAATGCCATTTTAAAAAATAATTCTGAGTTGTGCTTTTAAACAGAAAACAATCCATTATGTCTTTGTATTCACTTATTGGCACGTTGTAATTCAGATTTTCAACTCAAACATATCGACAAAGTGTTCTGCATATTCTGTCCTGTTTCAGCAACAACATCTGGAATCTTTGAGAGGATCCCAGCTTTTTTTCTCCTTCACAGCAGCAATTCACATCAACATTTAAATAAATCTCTCTTGTTTTCCTTGCAGACGGCAAAATAACAGGAAGCACAAAGATCAACCTTTCAGTGCAGACTTGTGCATGTTAGAAGGGGATGTGTAAACATTTTTATCCAGGTCAGCCCATGTGGAGAAGTTATGAATAAATCAAGGCTACATTTACATTAAAATTCAGCTCTTTAGTTGCTTTTTATAACATCCCAGAAAGAAGAGACACAGCTCTTAAACTTCAAAAGGAAAATTCGTTGCACTCCTTTTCCCCCGATCCACTCATCTCACTATTCCTCCCCTCAAAAGAAAAACCTCTGCCCATCCCCAATCTTCATGCTTCAGGGCCTGTGTTTTGAAGGGAAACAGACAAAAATGCAGAAACCACAAGACCGCACAAAAAACACTGAAATATGCAGTTCTGTGCACAATTGAACAGAAGCGCCTGGATCCCGCAGTCATAACTCTCTCACGCATATCTATTGGATTATAATTTAAAAAAAAATTCTGCAGAGAGGCAATCGTGCCCCCTACAGACACCGAAGAGGAACAGCCCTCTCCACTCAGTTTTCCATCGACTCTCTTTCTCTTTCACTGAACCCTCACAATAACAACAAACTAACATCTTTGTATTATAACTCATTATTCTTCCTAAATGTTTCCAATTCTTGAGTTTATAAAAATTTCAATTTGAACTAAAAAATAGACCAGTTGTGGTTAAATCTTTTATCAGGTAACAAGTTAAACTTATCTGGACATGTTAATATAGACAACAATGAGTAATGAATCAAAGACAATCAGTAATAGCAATTGACTTTTTGGTTACTGCAGAAAAATTAAACTAAGCCAGTACTAATCAGGTCTAAAATGTTTTTTCTATTTGATATTCAATTATATCAATAACCATCAAAGATATAGATGTTGCAGCATCTATGTGCGGAGACGTTTCATTTTTTACAATAAATTCAATCTGCCTGTTATATGTTTTCAATCTGAAAAAGTGAAAATGTGAAACAGAGACTTCGTACCTGAGAGCTGACCAGCCTGCAGACATCCTGCAGACATCCTGCAGAGAGCTGCAGTAGCAGAAATTAGTCAGGAGGGGGCCAACTGGCCTCGTGTTTGAATTTACGCTCAATAGCAGGTGTTGATAACACAGAACTTATCATAGAGATTTCACAAAAGATAATGAATCAATCATCTGTTCAGAGCTGTAAGAAGCAAAGTTAGGGTTCATTTCTGTCAATGCTGGGTGAAGTTTTAAGATACTCAAATCCATCTGTGGTCTAACAATGTGTCCGACTTCACATGAGACGTCCTGCTTAGATCAGAGCTCATGGAAAAAGAACAAAACTCATTATGTAGGGGTCTAATGCTTCTGGGGGTGTATCAGAATGTAAATTCTGATATCAAAGATTGACAAAAACAGTTTTCACAGCAAGTTTTCACATTGCACTGAGGACAAACTTCTGCTTCTGTTTCTGTGATTTTAAAGCTAAAATGTGGGGGGAAAAGAGATGCTAAAATATTCAACAATCTTTTATAATTCATGTCCTTCATTAGAAAAAATGTAAAAATCAGGTCACCATTTCCGTTATTTGAAAAACAGAAATTTCAACCTGGAATGCCCAAAAACTTGCATACCACAGTGTAGTTTGTGGGTTTGTTTGCCATTTTAGGGTTTAATGCTCTAAACAGGTTTCTGGACTGTTTCCAACAGCTACTGCTTATCAGCTTATCCAGGATGGATCAACATGGAAATCCTTTGAAATCTTTCCCTGAAGAACACAATTTT